CTAGTTTTATTTAAGAAAGGACTTGTGTCGCTAAAGTTTCGTCGGAACGAATTTACGGAAAATTGACCAACGAACGGAGACGTAACAGTATGTTTTGACTATTATCCCTCGCATTTATAAGCGTTTGAAAAGGAGAGGGGGGGGTTAGTGTTTGCTACATACGTAATGAGAGGGGAGGCCACTGAACAAGTTGTTAACTGTTTATTCACTTCGGAATTTTCGAAATGTCCCCAATCGTCTTTTTTAATCACACTGGAGTAGCTGCAGTTTTATCGGCAAGGAAAAGTTAGTGCTAATTGTTTACACAATGTGTATTATGTACAATGGTGTGTTCTAGCAGTAAGGCTTAAACGAAACTTCGTTTCATGAATAACTATTTTAATGTCTTTGAATCACGTTGCAATGGAAAATGACGCGTTATTTTGTGAAATTTCTTCCTCTCTGGAACTTAAGCTAAATGAACTTTCTGTAAAGTATTAAAAATTATTTAAATTACTTTATCTCTGAACATAGGGCCGGACTGGTCATAACAGCGGTCGGTGAAATTATGAGACAAGTCCGACAGTTTTAACAAAGATCCGGCCAGCCGGACTATTAATGTGAGCTAAAATAAAATTGTTAGATGCTTCAGTATAAAGTTCAGTAAGATGAGTTTCGTTTCTATTTTCCACTATAAATGTGTTTCATGTGAACCTTCTGTGACTTTAGTAGAATTTTCGAGGTGAAATATTATGGAACTTAAATCTGATACAAGAAACCTTCAGTGTTCACCAAAACTAACTCTGAACCATTAATTATTGTCTTCAGGATAAAGAAAATAACTGTAATTCAGGCATGATTTTTGCCGTGAAATGTTTGCTTATGTAGACGTCAAACTTGTGTTTCTAGGTTAAAGAACCTAGATTGTCTCCTGGGACAGTGGAACCATCTCGTCTCGTAACGTATGCGCATCTCAAAAGTGACGTCATAGCGACTAGACTTTAAAATCTGATTAGGAATGGTTCAGTACCACGTGATTCGCTTCTCCAGTATTGATTCGGAGGTTTCCAACCTATCGATTTTATTTTATTTTTTTACCGTCTGGGTCAGCTCGTCTTCAGACTGCTCGTTCTTGAACCCCAAGTATAATGGGTCTGAGATCGATAAGACTGCAGTATTTCCAACGGCGTGGCGGGTAGTCTGTACATTAACGTAATTTATTATATAACCTTCGTTAAAACTCGGATGGGTTTTGACGACTAGTTTTAATTCATTTTGAAACATTAAACTCGTATCGTGAAACGGAATACTAATGAGGTTGTTTTGTATACCCCAAAATGTTACGAATCTTCAGCAATTTCGTTCTGATAATTCATTGTATTTGTTCATCACACAAAATGGATAATACTACCATCTTATTATAGGAAGATCGTTTTCGATGTGTAGTTTATACCCACACTTGTTTGTAGATTACTCATCCAATCTCTTCTTAAACGCTTTTAGTATTTGTCACATTTTATGGCAAACCGCCCTGTTTAAAAAGTAACTAATATGTAGGTTGCGTAAAAAAAAAAAGTGTAGAATATAAAGTATTAGGAAAATAACATCGCCTTCCACGTATGTTATCTTAAGTTTTGATACTAATCATTAACATAAAGGTTTATATTACTGTACAAATTTTATAGAGGATCTTATAAAGAAAGAAAAAAAACTTTTTTTTCTTTTTGTATCCACAAATCGAATGAGTATCTGTATAGTGTAAAGAATGGACACCCCCTCCCTCCCATCCCAAAAATTAAGAAAAAAAACTAGTTAAGTTGTTTAGTTTTACTCTATCCGCCGGTGGGTCAGCAAAAGTTTGACTACGGGGTTCAATTTCACTCGTTCGATAGGTAGTGGATAGTCCAGTGTATTGCTTTTTCTACAAAAACACAATACTCTTCAGTATGCGTTACTTCTTTAAAAATAAAAAAAAAAGAATAATCTTTTGAGGATTTTATTTAATGAGTGCTGATTAATTTATGGGTGTGCTTATATGTTATTGACGAGATTTGAATGTGAATTTTATTGTCGAATCTACACAGCATTCACTGAACTTCTCTAAAACAGTTGAATTTGTTAGGTTTATATTGGGAATGTGGAAACTAACACGAACCATGATTCAGTCGTTTGCATTACCCGTTGGTAATATCAGAAATACTTTAGTGTACCCAACCACGAAAATTTTCTCGTACGTGGTTTGTGGTAAACGTTTCCAAGCCTTTCGTACAACAACACTATATTAATTTTTAGTTTCTATTTCTTAGCTACTGTTCGTGCAACTGAAGAATCGAGAGGAGGACTGAAGTATGAACTTGTACTTGCGGAACCCTCTGAGGTTACTCTGCCTCCTAAACTTACTACTTCTCCGCCCAAATGCAATCTTTCAGCAGAAGATATTGAAAACAAACTTAAAGCTGCAGAAGAAAGACGTCAGGTTAGTGTGTGTGTATATATATGTATGTGTGTGTATGTGTATGTATGTATGTGTATATATATATATGTATGTGTGTGTGTATATGTATGTGTATATATATGTATGTATGTATATATATCGTTCTTTGCTTGTTTAATTCTGGGTTGCATTATACTGAAGTTTAATTCATATTATGAATCTATGAAAGTAAACTTTCTAACAAACATTTGTTGTAAGTGAAAAAGCCGATAATTGTAAAGAAACTCTGAGGAACTTTAGCTGACATGGTGAATGCTCTTTTCAAGTGAAATAACGAAGAGTATAAGCTATTTCTATCTACCCTCACTTGTGAGGTTTTTGAACTTGGTATTTAACTCAATATTGCTTTGTGTTGTGGTGATCGGATAACTAGTGGATTTATTACTCGGTTAAACATCCTTATGAATAGAGGGATTTTTCGTTTGTTTGTAATTAAGCACAAAGCTACACAATCGGCTATCCGTGCTTTGCTCACCACGAGTATCGAAACCAGGATTCTAGCGTTGTATGTCCGCAGACATACCGCTGTGCCACTGGGGGGCGAGTGGTGGGAGTCGGGGACTGTTTGTACTCTAGGATAACTTGGTTGTATAGAATCATCACTTTGTTAGCCAAAGGTCCTATGTTCAAGTCCTGCCCAGTTTGAAGTCTCTTCTACTTACAATAATGGTTGCTAGAAAGTTGTACTGTAGTTCCTCCTACCGTCAATTACAATACTACTTGAATAGATAGTTTCCAAAACATTTTAAAGACAAACATTTCCAAAACAGATCTATGAGGCATCAGATTTTTTTTCCTACAGGAAAAGCACATTCAACTATTTATTTGCCAATGTCCATAGTGTAAGGTGGTGTATATATGTATATATATTGCTTTTAAAAAAGTTGTAACCGACTTTATACAACTGACTTTTGAAATTTCTTAAATTTGATGGTATAACTCTTTGTCAGTAGCTAAAAGCCTATTCTGTTTAACTAATTGTCCTCAAGCAACGCTTAAAGCAAAATAAATTAATTACACTTTAAAACATTTCTGAAAAACTAAATCTTCCACCTAAACTTGTGGCTTCTTCACTCTTCTGCATTGTTTTGGTCTGTAGATTGTTTCGGAAGTTATGCAAAGTTGACATGTTGCATGGCTTCTGCCATTAATTCGGTGGTAAGTTTGCCGGTTTATAAAACGCGCTCGAGCGCACACACGCAAAATTGTGGTCTGTACACAAAACAGTTGTTGTGCATAGGGTCAACTGTGTAGCTTTTCGCTTCAAAACGAAAAACGGCATAAAACCCAAAACAACTCTGCATCGAACCAAGAAAAGTCCTAAAAACAATTAACTCTTGAAATACAAACTTCTTGGTAGTTTTCACCCGTACCTTCTTTTTAACATAAGTAAATAATTGCAACTGCAAACGAAGATAATTTATTTTACTTGTAAGTGCTTTCAAGTTGTTTACATAATGGGAAGTTGTTACCCTCATTCTACTTGTTCATTCTTCAGTTTCTAGAAGCACAAAAGCTAAATCAACTAAGTGAGAAGCGCAATAAGGAGGTAGAAGTTAACCAGAAGAAGCAAGAGTATAACTCAAGCTTCATGGAAAAAGCTCAAAAAGATCTGGAACAAAAAATGGAAGAAAAAAAGGAAAACAGAGAAGCTTACATCAATTCTATAAAAGAAAAATCCCGTGATCATGTAGGTATTTTTTTGTGGTTTAACAACTAAAGTTTGTTCTTGTTACGATACATTCTACAGTAGAGGATGCATATTTTAAGAATTCCTGAAAGTTTTGTTTTAATTTGGATAACTGCATATTAATGACATTATTAAAAATTATCCTGGACTTCACAGAGACGTTAATCTATATTTTACGTATTAAATCCAGAGACTGAAATATGGTGTTCTATTGCTGTATTAACTGCTGTAATATCAAAAGAAATGAGTTAGCTAGAAAATAACTTTAACCTGGTGTTTAAACTTTTTATTACTAAGCAGTTGCTTTCATTGGTGTTTTTTCGTTGTATGGCTTTTATTTTTCTAAGTTTGTTGCGTAACTGCAAGCTGTTTTGTAGATCATATGCATTTGCTTCGAATCTGCAAAAGGTAGATATGAAGAGACTTGAAACAAATAGAAACAGATAATCATACACATTTTGTTTTTGTTGAGTTAGTTGTATCGTGTTTTTTGTTTTAAGTTATTAATGGAGACGTTTGCTCGGTGACTCCTATTAAATTATTTCTCAATATTCTACCCCCTCTTTAAAATTTTAACGGGGATTTTTGTAACAGAAATAGGGGAAAATAAACAAATATTAGCTCTGGTAAGAAAACTGAAAGAAGGTGGAAACTTTATTGGTTTGTTCATATCCTCGTGTTTTAATATTTATTCTTGTCTTGCTACTCTGACAGATTGCTTATATCCTACAACTTTAATGTATTTGGTTTTCGCCTGCTAGCAAGGTGTGTGTGTGCAATTTTAATAATCCTGGAACTGAACGTTGCACTAAACCAGTAATATTTAAACTCCATAGTCGAAGTCAACAGAAGTGTCAAATTCAACAACTATATAAAACAAAATTTGAAAGATGGATAGCTATGCGCATATATTCTCCATCACCGAAAACAATTAAACTATTTTCTATATCTGAAATACAATTATTTTTCGCCAAATGAGTTTTTATTTATTACGTGAGAAAGAGAAAAGCAGGAATTGATATCAACAATAGCACAATTGTGTTAACTAGCTGATATCTACCCTAGGATGGCTTTAAGTAGTGTGGCATTAAAGCTATATGAAATATAAAGGTCTTAATTCTAAAAGATAATGTTATCGCTTTTAAAATTCGCATTACCACCTGGTCTACGACTCGATAACACCTAACTCCTATAATTAGGTGGACTAGATAGGTTATAACGATTACCTATATTCGAGTTAACCCCCCCCCCCACCACACACACACATACGCACGCAAAACCCAAGTGAGCTCGATCTGTTAACCTCGTACAACAGTTTAGTACCAAAAGAACTCTTCTCAATAATGTTCGTCCACGAAAATCCAAACTTTTAAGGGTGATGGCGGACTGCGTTCCACTCGCGCGAAATAGTAGGAATGTTTCTTCTGGCAGTTAAAACTTGCAAAATGGGTGAAGTCAGTAACATTTTTATGTATTAAGTATCCAAACCCAATATCCCAGTGCTTTCAGAAACGTACACCTTCATTCTTCAGGGTGACTTTGGAAGGTCTAACTTCTAGATTACTCAAACTTCTAATTCAACGTTATTTTTCAATATTTTTTTCGTATTTATGTTGCTAATTATTTTAGATAAAATAAGATAAAGATGCGTATATTTCCTAATTAAGATATTGTATCATTGTAGTAATAATTTAGTTGAAAAATAATGACAATATATTGTAAACTATTACTTTAATTATAATTAATATAAAATACTTTGGGTATTCTAACTTAATACTAGAAGTAAACGACCTTTATAACACCAAAATGTTGTTTTTATTTAACTAGACATTCAACGTTTGGCTTTAAAACTTTTTCAGGAGCGTTCACTAAAACGCAAACCGAAACTGACAGTACAAAGCTTTGAGTGTCTAATTAAATAAAAACAACATTTTGGTGTTATAA